AAAAAAAAAAATGCATAAAGGACAGATATACAGCCTGACAAGCACCACAAAACCTGAAAAACTTTCATGATGTGAACAGTCATTTTGGAATTTTGTCAACTGGGCGAACTTCTGCGGCGTTTATATTTGGACGGCTTTAGAAATGAACTTGCGTGTTTATAATGAGAAGTGGCATATTTACTGACTGATGCTTTCATGGAAATATGCAGGAAAGTAAACTACAGTAAGATCAAAAGCAATGACCTTTCACAAGCAAGCAAAACCAAATGCAATAGAGTAATATACCAAATAATTCAGAAAAAAAATTCAGTACACAGGTTACGTAAAAAAAAAAAAGGACAATATTTCAACCACTGTAGTACTTCCTGACTTGAACCTTTGGGAACCATAGACTTACAGGGTTCCTAGCAAAAAAAAAAAAAAAAAAGAAAAGGACCATATGACCGTCTAACTTACTCTTTTCTTTTGACACTGCCTAAAAGGAAATGGAAAATTAGGACAAACAATTCCGCCAGCTAAAGAGCACTTTTTACTCTTGCTTTTGCTGTTCCTGTTGTTATTGTAGTAAATTAATTTTTTTTAATTTTTTTTTCACAAACTGAATCGTTTTTTGGTACTAAGGAAACAATTCAGTGTCACTAAAATGAAAAAAAAAACAGCAGAAAAAAAATTTATTCTGGAGAAATATGAAGATTTGAAGTTAAAAAGATGGCTATGACGCACAGAAATGTTATGCATTACTATGCTAAAGTCGCTGAAGAAAAATATGATTGCTTAGAAGATAAAAAAGAATTACTCAATTTACTGTTCTTTTGGCAATTTTCCATTTCGAAGTTTTTTAAATTTTAAAACCGTTCCAAGACCCAAATATCATCCCAATGACCACAGGCGGTTGCTGTTGCTGTTGCTGTTGCCGTTGCCGTTGCTGTTGCTGTTGCTGTTGCTGACTATAACAAACGCTTGAACGGTTAATGAATATGGATGGAGGGACTGATGCAGTGCAGTCAGCCAGGCGCGTATACTTCAACGTTGCCTATGTTTCTAACGTTGGGTCCCTGTAGTGAGAGTGCGTATGTATGTATGTATGTGTATATATGATAGGCAGTAGAAAGAACGCGGTCGTCCGTATGTGTATGTGTTGCTTCGGTGCATAGGGGGAGCTCCTCTATATTGTTCCTCTGATTCCTCCCATTTTTCCCGCTCGTTATTCCAAAGTGCTGCAGTTGATGGCCCCGCGCAAATTGCGAAAGAGAACGCAAATCGGTGGGAACGGCAGTGTGCATGAAACAGTGCATAAACACTGGTTGTCTAATCGTTGTGTTCTGTTTCTCTTTATTGAGCCTTTATGTTTCATCGGTCTCTGCAACGAGCTATCCTTGAACACAGCAGCAACGTTTCCGTGAAGCGTTCCACCTATGATTGGCGCAATTCCAGGGGTAATAATTCCTTCAAAAAAAATTTTTTTCCACTAAACCTTATCATTTCTGTTGTTTTGCGTGACAAAAAAAAATTTCTGCTTTTTTACTTGTACTTGTTTTTTTTTTTCCTTCTTAATTTTCATGTTATTGCTGCTTTGTGGAGATGTTTTATTTTTTTTAGATATCATCTTGAAGACACAGAAAAAAAGTCGGTAGGGACAAAAAGGGAACAAAAAAGTAGTGAATTTTTGAAAGTTGGTATGAAGAAAACTGGGAGGAGGGGAGAGGGAGGTGAGCAAGGAGAATGATTAGAAAGGCTGCATGAGGGAGAAAGAACAGATGAAATAAAAAAGAAGAGAGTGGGGAACCATCAGATGATAATGAAAGACTTAAAATTTCTTCTATAAAATTTTTACTGTATATACATGTTTGATATATTTGCGGATGTGTCTTTGTTTTCATTGTTTTTTTATGGTAACACATGTAGTTGATACTGACCGTGTGATTTTTGATTACCGGAAAGTTAAAGAAAAAAATGGAAAAAGGAAAAGAAAAAAATCTAATTAATTTTTATGCATAGTATTTTTAGCATATTGTTAGATCATTTTCACTCACACTCTTCTAATCTTTATTTTTGTTATTATAGCAAATGTTGCTGTTATCATGAGTGTTATTGTCATCTTTATTACTGTTGCCTTCATTTTAAGAAACCCTTACCATAAAAATTAACAATTTTACAAGAATTATCAAAGGGAACTGTCAAACACGGGAAGGCCGAAAGAAGTTGTATGAAGTATAAGTGTGGTTTTTTTTGCCTACTGTAACCGCAAGGTACACGTACTGGTTGTTGTAATTGTTAATTTTTGACGTTATATAGGCATTTTTTCGTTTGTTTTTTTTTTCTTTTGGATGGATAAATGATGAGTTTTTTTCCTCTTTTTTTGCCTGATTCCTGATCATTTTGATCGATGGTAGTAGTGCTGGAGATCTCTAATGGGCACAAAACTTAGGTTTTACGTTTCAAATTAGAACTAACCAGCAGTTTAGATATTGTAAATACTTACCTTTCCAGTAACTTACCCACTTGTTTCTCTTAGTTTTTTGTACTCTGCACTTAAAAGCCAGTATCCGTTTTTGGATTAGAACGGAAATCTTAAGCGTAGCGACAAAAAGCAGTAGAGACGGCAGTTAGAAATGCCAGCATTTCTTCACTTCCTTTGATTTTTTTCTGTCCTTCATTTTTTTTTTTTTTTTCTGGTTACAAAAGTAAAATTAGTTCTGCAACCATTGTGCGTAATTGACTATACACTTGAAATTCTTTCATAAAACCAACAGTTATCAGAAACATACTTCACTTTTCAATTTCTTCAAATAAAAAAGAAATATAAAAAAAAAAAAAGAAGAAAGAAAAAGAAGAAAATCCATAGTATTTTTCGGGCATTCCGTTTTTAGAAATATCCGCATCAGGATGTAGAGCCTTTCAGCAAAATGAGGCTAACATTTTGTGGTGAAGGCAAGTCTAAGTGTTGTAAACAACAGAGGGCAACCAAAGCAGTTGTAGGGGAACGCGAGAAGTGAGTAAAAGGTATCTATTAGCCATTTGGTTGGAAGAAAATCAATAAGCAGTGGAAGTTTTTTTTCCCCTTGGTTCTGATTTCTAAATTCGTTGGCATGAATAACTTTTCTTGGGTGGGAAGATGAATCCTGAAATTTATGACGAGTTGAGAAAAAAAAAAAAGTTAGAAGAAAAAGGACCTTCATTAATAATCTTTATATTTTTCGTTACTTTCCTCCGCTTTCCCTTTGTTTGTTACCAAAACGACTGGAGAGACGGGGCTTAAAAAGTGAGAAAAAAATGAAAGAAAGAGAGAGGGCAAGAGACGGGAAAAGAACGAGGGAGAGATAGAAAGCGAGTATCAAACATTTGTGTTGTATGTTTGGCCCCCGTAATGGAACTGCTGTTGGGAAGCGAGGAAAGCACTTATAAAATACAAACAGAAACAATAGGCATCTACAAAACCAGAAGATGTTGTGCCAATTTCGGTCTTAAAACTGCCGGTTTTCGTTTTCCTTTCTTGTTCTCTTGTTTCCGTCTTCTCTTTTCACTTTTCTTTCATCTCTTCTGCATAATAATGACTTAATTTTTGCCTATTTTCCGATTATTCAGCGGTCTCAGTATACGCGTTGGGCGCTGCGTCTAATACACAACCAGAATGGGTAGTAATTGCTGAACATTGGTATATGGCTTACGAATATATATTTATGTGTATGTTTTTCTTTGCTTTGATTGTATACGTACTCTATGATTTCGTTGTATCTCTGCGTCCATCTTTTGCACTGGATGGCGATCACTATTTTGTAACTACAAATCTTCTCTGTTTTACCATTTTATCATACGTTATATTTGTGCAGCAGTTCTTGTGCCTGATCAATACTATATTCATGGGACTTTTTATTCTTTTTTACTTTCTAACGTATCTACACTTGGTGTAATATTTTTTGATGTCTTAAACATCCTGGGTTGCAGAAAACAGAGTGTGAACTGTGTTGAATTAATGACTTGGATTCTCTGTACGTTCTATCCCATTAATATGCATTCTCTTTCGCCAGTATATTCTAAGTGGTTTCAGTTTACGTTGTTTGCCTGGGTTGCGCGTTAGGGAAGGGTTTTTGCGCTATCCCGCCAAATTTTTCCTGCTCGAAATGCCGCGCAATTTGAAATAACTTTTTTTTTTGTTAGGTATTTGTGTGAAAAGAACCAAACTGACATTAGCGGAGATCATTTTGATCTTGGTATTACATTTTTTTCGTCTTATCAGGGCTATTATGCATCTGGTTTATTTATTTGTTAACAACGTTATATATTTCACGTGTTGTACCAGGTTGATGTTTTCACACATGTCTGTGGATGATTTACCGCGTAAAGGTGTTATAGGAAGTCAGTTCTTTTATTGCATCCTCAGTTGTTGTAGGCTATACATATTCAGAAAAGGTCATGCGAGAATCAGCGAAACCGCCAGTTCGCGGTAAAACGTCGCCTTATGGGTTTTTTGTAAAGATGTGTTATGAGGAACACAAGAAAAAGTATCCGAACGAAAATGTTCAAGTAACAGAAATCAGTAAGAAGTGTTCTGAGAAGTGGAAAGTATGTGCATTGTACTTAAATAATCTCGCTTTTGTTGTTCTCGCTCGTACTTTTTTTTTTTTAAAAAGGACTAATTCAGTTTTATCCTTTGATCAGGATTCACGGGCTTTTTTTCTCGCAGTTTTAGCTTTGGTTCATTTTATTGTTGTAGGTCATGTCAGATGATGAAAAGCGGAGATTTTTTGAACTAGCTCAGAAAGATGCAGAACGCTACCAGGCTGAAGTTGCAGCTTATGGTGGCGAAGATGCTTTACGCAAACGTAAACGAGTAAAGAAAGACCCGAATGCACCAAAAAGGGCACTGTACGTAGTTCAATTTGTCTTTTTTATAATTGTCAATTCCTATTGTAATTCTCGCAGATTTTTAGGTCATATATCTGTAACTGTTGTTGATAGTCATTTCAGATCTGCATTTTTCTTTTTTTCACATGATAAGCGTCCAGAAGTGCAGCAGCAGCATCCGGAATGGAAAGTTGGTCAGGTTGCGCAGGAGTTGGGAAAGTATTGGAAGGCTTTAAGTGATGAGGAGCGAGCAGTCTACGAACAGAAAGCATTGGAGGATAAGGAGCGGTATGCTGAGGTCTGTAATTTAGACTATGCACGATAATATTTCCACTTCCATCGTCCTGTATTCTTTGTGTTCCTCAGAGTTTTCACCAGTTGCATTTTTTTTTTTTTTTTTCAGGAGATGCGAAATTATAAAAAGCCCACTCCGGTAGCTGCTGCAGTGCAGCCAATGGTTGGCATTCCCGAAGGAGCTGTGCCCGTTGCTACCGCTCCTGGCGTTCCTGTTCCAGTTCCCCCTGGGACTGTGATGATGGGGATCCCTACAACAGAGGATGTAAGGGTGTTTCGATCTACCTTTTAGCGTTTGTTTCATGGACTCGCTGAACTGCCAAGTCTTAGTGCTAGCGATTAGAAAAGCTCCCTCATCTTTTCCTGAGTGAAAGCAGGGAGTTTTTGGGGTCGTTATCATGAGTAAGGTAAAAAGCGAGCTATCAATTTTTGTGCTTTCTTAGTGAGGGTCCCAATTTGTAATTTACTCAAAAAATTAAAATTTGATAAAGTAGAGCACTTTTTATCGTTGAATTTGCGCTGACTCATAAAGATGTTGGAACAGTTG